TAGTGTCTGAGGCTAAAGTAATAGTGCTGTTGGCACAGAGAGGCAAAAGGACTTGGCACAGCCCATCCCTGAGTGAAACAACATACTTAAACACTTTCTTTAAACATTCAGTGCAGGAATCTGGCAGTTGAGGGCTCTCCAAGCTTCCTTTGTGTCTGTAACTGAAAAACATGCAATTGTGAGGGCATAGGACATATTTATCCCTATGAAAAAGTGCAAGTGAACATTTCATTTGGTTGCAGCTGATTATTGCTCCTTGGCTGGGCTTCAGATATACATTTGATTCTGTTTAATGTGATATTTCTGTTAGGTGGATCCACAGCTAGTTGAGCAGCCATATACAGCAAGTGCTTATTAATGGCTCTGTATCAACCCGGAGGGGGCTCTCAAGTGGAGTACCACAAGACTCTGTCTAAAGCTCTGTGTTGTTCAGTCATTTTATAAATGACTTGGATGAGGCTATAGAAGGGGTGTTCATCAAATCTGCAGAAGACACAAAGCTGGGGGGATAGAAAATACCATAGAAGAATCAGCACCAGGATTCAAAATGATCTTGACAGGCTGGAACACTGGCCTGAAACCAAGAAGATGAAACACAACAGAGATAAATGTAAAGTCCAGCATTTAGGTACAAAAATAATCCAAGGTACACCTTCAGGATTGAAGAGATCTGACCCTGCAGCAGTGCATGTGAAAAATACTTAAATAACTTAGTCAATCACAAGCTGATCATGAGCATTGTAATTGACTGATCATGTGATGCAGCTGCAAAAAATGTTAATGCAATGTTCAAAAAAAGAAACAGTGTGTCTAGTTTATAAGAAGTAATAGTTTTACTGTAGGTTGTATAAGACTGTCTCTGGAGTACTGTGTCCAGTTCTGGGTACCATATTTTAAGAAGGGCATCAACACACAAGTGTGCCCAGAAGAGGTGAACAAGATGGAAGCCCAAGCCATACTAGGAATGGGTGAAAGCACTGGGCATGTTTAGCCTGGAGAAGTGAAGTATAGTGGGAGAATAATAGCAGCTTTCAAATGTCTAGTCTTATGCAGAAGGTGGAGCAGGCATGTTCCTGGTTGCTTCAGAAAGCAGGACTAGTACTAATGGGTGGAAATTGCAGAGAATCAAATTTAGGTATGAGAATAATTTCAAGTATCAAGCATTAGAAGAAACTACCAAAAGGCAAGAGCTATTTGCCAGTGGAACACACTGATATGGTAGGTGGTAGGGAAACCAATGTCCGCACCATGGAAGGACTTGTGGATCCAGAATTGGCCTCCACAGTCACTTACGGACTCACTGTTCATGGACTGTGTTTATGGAAGACACTCGACTATGAGTGATTGCCGAAGAAGAAGGAGGGCAGCCTTCCCTGGAGGTATTTAAGCAGAGGCTGGATAGCTACCAGACTCGGAGGCTTGTAGCTGCATGCTGTGTTGCAGATCTTGCATTGAGCAGCTTGTATTTTCCTAGGAATCAAGTGGCGTTATTTGAGGTCATGGCTGGCCTTGTCCTTACATGGATGGAGATGAGCATCTGCCACAGCTGAACTGAAGTGATCCTTAGCTCACTTTCCTACTGTTAACAGCAGGGGTAGCTAATCTTTTTCAGCCTGAGGGCTGCATTGCCCCACTCCATCCCTTCCGAAGAGCCACATGCCAGTGGTAGATGTCATAAGAAAGTGGTGTGGTCACCCCACAGACTCAGGTACACAAGCAGGCACACACACACACACACACACACACACACACACACACGTGCCCTGTCCTAGAAACTTATGCTAAAGAGGGTGGTGCAGGGCAGGGGGATGACAAGTCTCCTTCACAGGTCATTCAGATTGTATATTGTGCATCAGGAGAGAGAACCCCCATCTGTCAAGGGACTCCCCAAAAAGTGTGTGGGAGTGGCCAGAGCCCCCTATAATCCTGCTGACTCTTTGTAGAGCTTCGTGCTCTGCAAGCCTCACTGGCAGAAGTGGAGCAAAGGAGTGTACTCTGAGCCAACAGAGATTTGGGCAATAGACCTACCCTTTCCTCATCACAGTGCTTTTGATTGCCCCCTCCCTATGGCTCCCCCCTTTTAAACTCCAGTTATGCTAGTTTGCACCCAAAGCTGAGTGAGGTTATGGCTATGCTAACATATCATTGGCATTGCTGTACTGCAGCGTTGCAAACTTTACAGCTTTGACAGTGTAAGAGACTCTAGGAACTAGGGTCAGATAGTCACAAATGCAAGTCTTGCCCTGCACAGGTTTCTTTTGGTGACTTCTTTCTAAGTGCATCTTACTCAAATCAGTGTGGCGTTCTTCTCACTAAACATTTAAGAGATTGAAAATGTTTCCTTGTTCATAAATAGCTTTCTATGATCTCCTACGGTTTCCGAGCTACCCATCTGGGCAGATACACATTATCACTGAGCAAAAAAACTATTTGCAATGGGGGTGCAGTCTTATAAAAACTTAATTGCAAACATGACAATGCATTAATTTCCTTTGAAGGTATAACACGATTTTCATTGATGTAGGATGGAAGCTTCCCATAGCTGTCAAGAATACTATAATAAAGTTTATGAGAATCCTCCAGTGCTTCAATGTCAGTGAAAAATAAATGCAGGTTTCTGAGAGAGAAGGTCCTTGTATTGCCACAGTCCCTAACATGGAATCAGGTGAATCTTTATTATCCATGGTTTGCTTTTCTCTGTTAGCACCATTTAATATAACTTGTATTGTGGAATTTCTGTTTTTATTTGAACAAATGTTTGTTCTCTCACCAGTAAGTTCATAACTAGGTTTGAAACAATAGAAGTGGTGTTGTGATCTAGAAATGGAAGTCCGTCAAATAATGTGTTGCAGACAGTGGGAAATCAAACATGAAATAAAATTGGGCTGGAGATTTTGTAGTGAGGTTAGAGGGTAAGAGGGATTTAAAGAACAAATTTGATATTGGACTCTACTTCAACGCAAACTGGCCTTTCCTCCCCTTCTTATTAGATTCATGCCTATATCAACATAGGATGGAAAGTTCCAAACCTTTTTGATGATGGCTAGTCAGAAAATAGCCACCAGAGGGCAAAAGACAGTGCTTTAGCAAATATACACATGGAAAGCTGGGGTTGACTGGAAGCCACTGTACTTAGGAGAGGTGACATATTGACTGTTTTATTGTTCTATTTTACACACACCCCCAACATGGCAAAGAGCAAGAGAACTAAAGCTAGTTTATTTCCTTCCATCTCTTGCATACACCAGAAACCTCCTGGATCAATATTATTTAACTAAGAAGTGCTAGGCTAAATATGCTGTGGGGCTGGGACTTGAGACCCAGCTGTAAAAGAGGGTTTCTGAGTAGAGTACAATACCATGCATCTCAGAATTAACCAGGAGCTGTCATCCATCCATGTCTGCCTAGAAAAGTATGTGAATACTATAAGTGAATGTTGATTGTTTTCAGGGTTTCCCCCCAATGTGGGACCACCTTCTCCCATATCAGCCTGCTTACTTATTGGGGAAATACATGGATAACTTCCTGTCAATTCCAAACCATGTTTGGGACAAATGGGAGACCCATCTTGGTTGTCGCACCCCGTCGGTGGAGGGTTGCTGTCCTATCGCCAGTGCTGAAGAGAGAATCAACTAACAGTCCAGTCAGCTTCTGCATGTGGAATGGCGGGGGCCCCATCATGACCTCCCAGGCGTCAAAACTTTTTGGGCCAGTCATAATTATATATAAGGCTTCTGGTCTTGTTTTGCTTTTAATTATTCAGCCTTTTATTGTGCTTCACTTCTACATTAAACTGTTTTATTGCTGGTTTGTTTCTTCATCGTTGTATAATATATGGCGTAAGCCACATTGAACTATACAGGAAAGGCGAGTTTCAATATCTTAAATAAATAATTCAGTGAACTGAGGAGTTGGCAGCTGTCTGTCTTGGGAGAAAATGAAGGAGTGCGCCTTTGCTGGCGAAGTCAAACTGATGGAAGGTTACAGCGCATGCTGCAGCTGCAGAGATACAAGAGAGACATGCTTTGTTACAGTTGGGGCAGATGAAGGCATCCGGTTGTGCTGATGCAGAATGGCGTTTCTTCTGTCTGTGCTCCCAGAGAGCATTACTCCTTTGGTCCCTGCCATGGATGCATGACCTGAGTGGGCTATAGTTTAGTGGTAGAACTGTGGCTTTGTATGAAGAGGTTTCAGGTTCAATCTCTGGCATCTCCACTTAAAGGGATATTGAGTTGCAGGTGAAAGCAGAGGTCTGTGCCCTGGAAAGCTGCTGCCAGTCTGATTTGACAACAGTGGTTAAGATGCACAAGTCTGACCTGGTATAAAACAGCTTATTATGTATCTAGTTGGGCGCAAAAGTGGGTGGTGAAATGAAATGGGCCCTAGAGGTCGACTCTTTCAGGGGGTTAAGATTTGTGAAGGAAAGACGTGTGAAATGTTGGTGCTAATTTGGTGGCATAACTTTGAACAGCGATGAAAGATTTTTAGTGAGCAGTTGCAGAAGCATTCCCAGCATTTCTGCCTCCTGGGCATATCTCAGATTAAGAGGTCTATTCTTATTTGTCAAATCCCCAACTTTCTAATTCATATTTCCTGAACATGCTTGTATACAGATAATTATAGCATCCAAATACAGCAAGTGTTTGTAACCAAATAGAGCCTTTATACTACCCAGGAGCAGAATCCAAAAATTATGGTGATTCAGCCTGCATGCCTCTTGCACTACAGAATTTATATCTGTTTTAGGGAGCAATTGTGAAATAAGGCTCTGCTTTCCCACATGCAAGGACACTAAGCAGCAACATTTACTTGAAGATAAGTGCACAAAGCATTGCAGAACAGTGTCTACCTGACATGAAATGTAAATATCCACGCTATTTGATAACTAGCTTAAACATAAATTGAACAATAACAAATACATGACCCGTTGCATTATATTTAGAATGCTTGATCTTAAGCATAAAAAGTTAACTGCTGTTTTGTGTCTTCTCATTAAAAAGCAGTCTTTATGGTCTGTCGGAGGATAATGAGATCATTTTTAAACAATCGTAAGTACAGACTTGAATATGCTTGCCTTGCATTCATATACCCATTTAAACCAGGTTGTTTTAAAGAGGCACTTAGATCTGGGAATGAAATATGATTGAAATAAAGAAACCGGATTATTAAAAAATTGAAACATTGCCTTTTTACTTAGTCTGTTGTTCCAGTTTAACCTCTACAGAAATGTAGATATTCAGGGCAGAGGCTGTTTGTGTGATCTGTGCACTCTTAATTTAAGGTTTGGGAGTTAATAAGGCAACTGGTTGCACACATAGCTTTGAGGTATAGCTTCTGCTGATATGAAGCTTAGCCTTTGGTGTCCAGATTTGCCCAGTAGTTGGCCAGCCAAGGTTGGGTTGTTCTGGGTTAAACTTGCCATCCTGCTTTGTAGCAGCAACATCTGCTTCTTGTCTTGCAACATCTTATTTATACATTCCTCTAGGAGAAAAAATGTCTGATGCTCTAACAGACTTATTGGAGCTGGGATTAAATCCTGATAAATAAAAACACTGGTGGTTGAGGCTAGCCTCTAGGCCCACAAAAGCAGCCCTGCCCTGCCCTGCCCTTATATAACTGGCACAGATGAGACTGACAGCCTCTTTTCCCTTCCCTGCCTTGCCCCCACAACCCCTCCCCAGGAATGCCACAGTCTGCCAACAGCAGCGTCCTCTCTGGGGAGAAATCACCAGGAACTTTGTGCTTTTCTAGCCCCGTCAGGAATTTTAATATGCTAAAGCCACAGGAGCTTTGAGGTTGAACAGGCCCTGCATACTAACACACCCTTAGCCAATCCAGCTTCCTGAAGCTTGCACTGTGTGCAGAGATGTTGTCAACTCCAGAAATCCCCTTGCTGTGTTGTCTGTCAGCTGCTGTTCTTGCTCTCCCATCAGGAGTGGGTGGTGTTGAGCGTTAATGGGCAGCAAGGGGTGAAGGGGAGCCTGTTGAGGAGACATGAAATTTGTGCATGCATGAATTACAGCAATAAAGCAAAATGTTTGGATGTTTAAATTAAGCAATGCTCAGTGCAGCTACTGTGGATCAAAGGCGGAACATGAGCTTTTGGGGAGCGGGTAGAGGGAGGCTTCTGCACAAAGAGCGAGAGCAAAAGTGGAAAACAATTGGCCAATGACAACATTCTCAGGGACCTGCTTGCAGCAGGGCAGTTTGAAAATATTTGGGTAAATTAATCTGGGATTTGCTGTCAGCATTTCGTGTTCCACAGTCCAGTCCTGTGAGCTTTAGCTGCTGCTATGTAAACAGATATTTCTCACTGCAGCATCCTTTGCTTGGGAAGTGGGGCACAGATGCCCCTCACATCACTAGTCGCTCAGTGTTTTCTCTTAGGGCTGCTTTGTGCATTATGCAGTGGCAAACCTGTTTACCTCCAATCACAGTTGATGGAGTTATGCAGCCGATCTTCCTGGCAGGTGTAGGTGCATAACACTTCTGTTTGAAAATGTGTTTATTGCATCCATTTAAAACATTTAAAAACAAACCAGCCTAGGGGCTGCACTTCTGCTTGCTTTGCTCACATGCCATTCTCCCCAGATTAACCTTCTAGAATTTCCCCTTCCCACCCCATGCAACTACTCAGATTGTTGTTCACCTTCCCACCCCATTTCTGAAGCCACTTCTCTCTTCTGTTGTACAGTCCATCATTGCATCCCTGTTTTCATCTTTACCCCCATGTCCATGTCTTCCCCTCCATTTGTGCAACCCCACTTACACACAAGCCACCCCCATGGTAACCTTCTGCATCTTCTTCCTCCCAAGCATTGCAACTACTAAGTACCCTTTCCACCTTCAGCCCATCTGCGAAGCCACCATACCCTCCCATTCTTCAGGCCTTGGTTTATCTTCACCACCACCACCACCACCATCATTCCCACATCTCCCTTCTTTTTTGCAACCCCCTTTGCACCCCATTTCCCCCCTCCCCTTCTTTTTCACATTTCCCCTTGCACACAGGCATTACTATTTTGCAAGAGACCTGCATGGCATGTGATCCACCAGTACAAACACAGAAGATGGCCTATTATCTGTGTCTGACAACCTTCTTGTTCTTGTATGCCCAGACAGGTGTGTTGGGTGGTGCATCTCAAGTTATATATGCTTGTTTTAATATAGGCCACAAGGTAGTTAGTTGGGAGGTTAAAGTAAAAACCATTGTAACCTTGAGCTCTTGAGCTAGGATGAGAAGAATCAAATCAGAAAAATAATATATTCAGGACAGAACCATTTAATTAAACATCTTGAGTACCTCTGCAGTTGTAAACTTAAAATGATATTTCTGCTCAAGTCCTAAAAACACAAATGACGGTCTACATTATAGAAAAGTTTTACTACATTTGACTCACTGAGGTAATGAAGACTGATCCTAGGGCAGCCTTACTTTGGACAACAGTAATTCACAACTCTGAAAGAGATAAAAGCCAGGCAATGCTACTCTACCTTTCATAAGATTTATTTTTCTTCGTATTAGAGGTTGATCCTCAAAGAAATAGGTTCACTTACAGTATTCCAATATGAGTAGTATTGGAACATCATTCCTCTTCACCTCCTTCATGACCATGTCATTGATACTAGTAGGATGCAAGGTCTGACTCTATGCCTGCAGAAATCAGAGAACAGATTCCCCACCCCATTTTCAACTGCATCTTGTTATGCTCTTTTTTGTACTTAAGCACATATACCCAAGTAGAAGGTACAGGTAGCTTGCATGAAGTGTTACTTTTTTTGGGTAAAATACATAGAAGCAAAGACAGCTCTTTTCTCAGCTGCAGCTTCCAGGTATTTAGCGGAGAGAAAAACAGTGGTGCCATTCACAACCAGCCCAAGGTATGTGGATTTTGCATTTGGATGTCTTTAAAAGGTAAGGGACCCCTGACAGTTAAGTCCAGTCACAGATGACTCTGGGGTTGCGGTGCTCATCTCGCTTTACTGGCCGAGGGAGCCGGTGTTCGTCTGCAGACAGCTTCCGGGTCATGTGGCCAGCATGACTAAGCTGCTTCTGGAGAACCAGAGCAGTGCACGGAAACGCCGTTTACCTTCCCGCCGGAGTGGTACCTATTTATCTGCTTGCACTTTGATGTGCTTTCAAACTGCTAGGTTGGCAGGAGCAGGGACTGAGCAACAGGAGCTCACCCCGTCGCAGGGATTTGAACCACCAATTTTTCCAGATCGGCAAGCCCTAGGCTCCAGAGTACAAAAAAATAAAATAAAAATGCCCTGCAGCAAATTGTAACTTAAAACAGATTAGTTCTAAAGAGACGAGATGGGGCACTTTGAAGAGGGTGGCCCCTTGACCATGCCAGGCCATGCAGTGAAGCACTGACCCTCTTCTCTAGAGGGTGGACTTGAAATGAGTCATGATAATAAATGGAATATGGTGCTGGCTTGGAGTATGGAATATAGAAGTGAGGTGGGTGAAGCATACCTATGAAGCACTGTGGCTCCAGTCTTGCCCTGCAGGTGATGAAACGAAAAACAGCATAAATGTTTAGCTGTCCCTTCCTTTTGCCTGCGTGTCTGGCCACACAAAAAAGAGAGACCTCCTGTTGGTGCATTAGCTGAGTTCACAGATAATCATGAGAGGGAGGAATAGGTTCACTTGCATTCCAGCTAGCTTCAGTTTACCTGCTCTACCAGCAAAGAGGAAAAAACAGTATTCTGCATGCCTCAGGAAAGCAGCAGTCTGGACGGAGTCCGTCATAAGAAGCTGACATCATAGTTTATGAAAGAAAGCATGGTTTGCAGAGCCATAGGGGAGCAGCAGGAGCTGCTGGCTGTAGCTGAGTGACTCCCCCTTCTCCATAGCTCCCTGTAACTATGAGGAAGAGTCTGTTATTGCTGATAAATTACTCCGCACTGTAGAGGAAATGAAGAGGAAGGTAGCAAGATGGGATGTGTAGGGGCCTGAATTATTAGGACATTCAAGGCTTATATGGATAAGAGTGTTTCTATAATGCTAGCATATATATATATATATATATGTGTGTGTGTGTGTGTGTGTGTGTGTGTGTGTGTATAAATGGTGGCTCCAGGGTAGAACAGTTCCTCCAGGGTAGAACAGGGAGGTCCCAAAACTGACCTCCCAACTGCAGCATCACTGCCATTTTCTGGGGTGTGTGTGTGTGTGTGCAGGGGAGCCATGAACCTGGGTCAGTGCAGGTGCATCAGTGTGAGTGCCAGATGAACTCCATTGGTGCACCCAAGCTTACCGCTCAGTTCCATCCTGTTAAGTGGCAGCAACACCATGCCAGGAGACCATCTCTGTGTCAGTTCCTCACCTCAGCAACTGCTCGTGCCTTGCAGCAAAGTAACCTCCGACAGGTTCAGAAAATGGCCTCCAGGGAGGAAGTTGCTTCATTACCCAAAAGGCAGGGTTGCTGCTTTCCCAAGAATTAGGGTCCTTAGAGATCATGTCAGTATTCTGAAAATTGATAAACTGCAAGGCAAGGTATCCCAGAGGCACTCAGAGGTCTATTAATAGGGTCCCAAAGAACGGCATCATTCAATTCATTTAATCTTGAAGTGACTCAAATCACTTGAGTGTGAGAAATTATTGATTGCAGAGGGTTTTTTTCCCATCCTGGAGTGATAATGGCAGCATCAATAATGGATGATTATCCCAGATGGATGAATGGTTTGTAAAATAATAATATAATTAATAATAAATAAAATAATTCAGCTGAACAGGATCAGAACAAACTTGGTTAGAAGTCCCTCCAGACTTTCATGTTCTAGAAGTGCTACACAAGTTGTTTAACTTAATTTTAGTTCTGATAACATCTGAATAGGGCTGGAATCTTTCTCATATTTCATAAATAAGCTTCTTTGGGCTTCATTGTTTCTCTTTCTGTGTTGGTTAGATGGCTAAGAAATTGCATTTGTTTTGGTAATTAGACCTTGGATAAGGTCTAACATACTGCCAATTCCTTGAGAGGTTACAGCTTGCTGTTGGACTGAGTCCATGTATGTGTGGCCGTGACTGGGAAATCTGTGTGCACATTCATTATGTATCATATCACCTGCACACCTGCCTCTTCTGATGCAGCCTTTGGTTGACACGTCGTCCAAAGGTTTGTTTCTAGCAAATGAGAGGGCATAATCTCTTAAAATAAACTACTTGCATACATCCCAGAACTAAAGACTTCTCCACCCCAGAAATATCAGAGAAAGGAAAATCTGAACCTACTCTAAATTGCTATTCCTGGGGGTTCTGTGGTAAAACAGGCAGGCAGGCTGACAGACAACCTGACAAGTGCTAGCAGGGTCATGAAGCAGTGGCTTCTAGAATATTGCCTTTGGATGTCCAAAATTATCAGTGTTAGACTGATAGTGGAGTCCAGTGGGATATGTTCCTGTTTGTCTTTGTTCAATGTTTGTGTACCTCTTGATGCATTTATACACCAAATATTCCCCCTTTATGTCATTTTCCATTTGTTTCACATGTGAGAACCATGTGGCTTCCCTCCATGCTTTGCCCTTGGATTAGGAGTTGAGAAGAAGCTCTTCCCCTTGGAGACATTGCTAGTGTAGTGGTGGAGAACCTCCACCCCACAAGCTGAATTTGACCCACCCGAGGCTACGTCACCCCCCTCCCCTTCTCATGTGCTTTTAGCTGGCTGGAATGTGTCCTTGAACTGTGATGTTGCCTCTTATTTAGATGGAGCTCTCTCTCTCTCCCCCCCCCCCCCCCGTGTGTGTGTGTGTGTGTTTGGAAACCTCTGGCTTTTGTGTGGCTGGAATGTAGTCAATTGTACAAAGACACGTGTCACAACTGTTGCTCCTCCCACTGCTGGCATCCTCACCCCTGTTGCTGAAGGATCCTACTTGTTAACAGGGAGTGGAAATTTACGACAGATTCAAAGCTTCCTTTCACAAGCACCAGAAGGATTCTGCGCATTCCCAGTTTTGTGTATGATTCACTGGGAAATGCTTCCGTGTGTTCAGTTTCATGACCTCATGTGCCCCAAGGGCTCCTGTTGAATCGGCCCCTGTGGCTCCTCTTACTTGCACTCAGCAACCTCATTTACAGTACTCCATAGCCTCCCCTCTCCTTGTTTCGGTTCTATAGCATAGACAGCTTTTGAAATACCTGGTGGGCTTGTGCGTGCACATATTACATTTCAAATTGCCATATTGAGGAAGGGCAGCCAAGCTCCAGTCACTATGGAAAATGAAGAAGCCTACATTGTTTCAAATCCTTGAAGTATAAAGTGGGAATTAACCCTGGAAAGTTGTGTATGGAATCAGTTTAAAACTCTGGAAGCAAATGAGAACAGAATTGATTTTTCAGTGATCACAAGGTGCGATGTCGGTATACCTGCATGATTTCCCTCTCCCTCTCTCCATAGTCCTATGCACTTTCTTTCTCTCTATGCATGTATGTGTGTGTGTTGTGTTTCTGCTTAACCTTCAAAGAAGCTCAGAATTGTTGAGACTGGGGTGATGAGGCTGGCACATTTTACCCTTAACTGTCTGAGGTAGGTCAATCTAAGAGATGCTGAACTGACCCTGGGGTCTCCCGGTTTACTTTATTAGTGATTTACTTTATGGGTAACCTAGTGATTTGAACTTGGGTCTTTTAGGTCTAACTGGCTTCTGGCAATGAGGCACTTACCGTACTTTGCTCATCATGAAGTACTCCCCCTCCCTTTCCTCACCTATCCTAAGCATAGGTAAAAGCAAAGCTAAACAAATGCAATTCCACAAAGCCCCAGACTTGGCTGTTAGAACTGATTAGAAATAGATCAAGTTCATAATTTGCAGGTTTTGACTTCCTTGCTTAATTTATTCTTAAGAGGTTGCAGGGTACCACGTTGTCCACCCACAAATTCAGATTTCACAGGCACATGAAGTTATCTATGGGGGTCTCGTATTCAACCCGGCTGACTCTCTTGTGTTGCAGATACTAAAGCGACCTGTGAAGAATCTCCATGAAGGTGACCAGCCATGCAATGTTCCTGGAAGGCTGTCCTCCTACTTGCTTTGGCCTCCATTGCTATCCAGTACACAGCCATCCGCACCTTCACGACCAAGTCCTTCCACAGCTGCCCTGTGCCTCCCAACCCAATGAACTGTAGCCTGAACCAGGAGATTGAATCGGCCGACCGGCTGTGTGATGAAAACCCCACCCTCGCTTACAACACCTCCAAGAAGACACATGTTCTGATCTTGGCCACCACCAGAAGCGGATCCTCTTTCGTCGGGCAGCTCTTCAACCAGCACTTTGATGTCTTCTATTTGTTTGAGCCCCTTTACCACGTCCAGTACACCTTGATCCCGAAGCTGACGCAGACGAAGGGCTCCACGGACCGGCGGATCATGCTGGGTGCTGGCCGAGATTTGCTGAGAAGCCTCTACGACTGTGACCTTTACTTCCTGGAAAATTACATCAAGCCCCAGCCCGTGAACCACACGACGGACAGGCTCTTCCGGAGGGGGGCTAGCAAAGCTCTGTGCTCCCCACCAGTTTGTGAGTCGCTGGCGGCATCCACCGACATACCTCTGGAAGAAGGCGACTGTGTGAAGAAGTGTGGCACTTTGAACCTGACCCTGGCCACCGAATCATGTAAGGATCACGGGCATGTTGCTATCAAAACAGTGCGGGTGCCAGAGGTCAATGACCTCCGAGCCTTGGTGGAGGACCCCAGGCTCAATTTGAAAATCATACAATTGGTGAGGGACCCCAGGGGCATCCTGGCTTCCAGGAGTGAGACATTCCGAGACACTTACAGACTTTGGCGGATCTGGGATGGCACAGGCAGGAAGCCCTACAACTTGGACGTGACCCAGCTCACCACCGTCTGTGAGGACTTTTTGAACTCTGTTTCCACCGGGCTGAACCGGCCGCCTTGGCTCAAGGGAAAATACATGCTGGTGAGGTATGAAGACCTGGCCAGGAATCCCTTAAAAAAGACCGAGGAGATGTATGAATTCCTTGGCATTCCCATGGACAGCAACGTGGAACGATGGATACAGAACAACACTAGGGGAGATCGGTCCGCGGCGAAACACAAGTACGGGACTGTCCGGAACTCGGCGGCGACTGCAGAGAAGTGGCGGTTCCGCCTCTCGTTCGAAATTGTGGCGTTCACGCAGAACGCGTGCCAGCAAGTGCTGGTACAACTGGGCTACAAACTGGTGTCCTCCGAGGAGGAATTGAAGAACCTCTCCATCAGCCTGGTGGAGGAGAGGGACTTCCTGCCCTTCTGGTAATGCAGACATTAGGGACTCGTGTTTTAATGCTGATACGAGCCATTTCTAACTATTGCCTTATTTTCCTTCTTCCCCTCCTACTCTCTGAAATTTGCACTAATTCTTTGAATGGAAGTCTTCAAAAGAGTTAACATGAAGAAGGTGCCCCCGCTCTCAAACCATAGTATGGATTATGAGTATTGGGTCTCTTAAGAACAAGAGCTAAAAACACAAACTGCGGATGGGTAGCAATGTTTACAAATCACACACACGTAACAATGTATAAAAGGGAAAAAAAAGTAACCCTCAGGCTTTCCACACCGAAGGGCACCTGAGGAATTATACTTTTGCACTGTTTACTTTTACAATGTAAGAGATAACTATAACTATATATATATAAATATATATATATATGTCTAATTTATGAATAGTGTTGTCATCTCCCACCTAACTCCTCCTGATTATGAGCAGGTTTTACTGTTAGCTGAATGTGGAAAAGTCTCCTTGTTTTAAATCTTGTTTTGATATGTCTGAGTCATGTTATCAGGCTGGTCGCTGATCCATGGTTTGTTGAGTAACACCTATGACATTTATTTGTGCCAAAAAAAATAGAAAGGAAGGAAGTGGTTTGCTGAACATCAACAACAATACCTTAATGCTTTATCTCTGTGTTTTCTGCAAATAAAGAATACAATAAAATCAATTGTTCCTGGAGGGACAAATTCACCAGGCCAGGCTCAATGAATTGTCAGACCATTTAACTCTCCTCAAGACAAATGTAATGGTGGGGGTGGAAGGGGAAGGATGTGTGCAACTATTAGACCTTTAAAGATCCAAAGATGGATAGCAGAGTACATCATAGGCAGACAGGCTGATTATCTGATTGTTAAGTGCTGAGGTGGAGAAATAATGGCAGTTCCATGATCCGTATGCATCTTAACCTCCTGCCTTTTTAATGTGTAGTAAATTGGAACTAGTTACCTTGAAGAAGAAGAAGAGTTTGTATTTGATATCCCGCTTTATCACTACCCGAAGGAGTCTCAAGCGGCTAACGTTCTCCTTTCCCTTCCTCCCCCCCTTACAAACACTCTGTGAGGTGAGTGGGGCTGAGAGACTTCAAAGAAGTGTGACTAGCCCAAGGTCACGCAGCAGCTGCATGTGGAGGAGTGGAGACACGAACCCGGTTCCCCAGATTACGAGTCTATCGCTCTTAAGCACTACACCATGCTGGCGTAGAATTATAAGAGTATTCTAAGCCTGCTCAAGAACTCCCTCCACCTCCCCAACTTAGCTGGCGGTTTTTTGTTTCATCTAGAACCACCAAGCACATTAGGGAAGAACTTGTGATTCCAAGGAGAAGAGCGCACGTCTGCATGCATAATGTCCCTGGTTCAATCCCCGCCATATCCAGTTAAAACGATTTGAGGCAGCAGGACTGGCAAAGACCTCTGCTTGAAATCTGAGAGAGCTGCTTACAGCCAGATACGGCAGTACAGGAACAGAGGGAGAAATGCAGCATAAGGCAGCCTCATACGATTATTCCCCCCCTATTTGCCCTGTTGCTCTGGTAGGTTCACATCTGCATTAGAGCCTGCAGCTCTTCTAGAACTTCAAGGCCTAGTCTAGCCTGCCTAACAGTTCTAGATCTCAGCAAAGGAACCCTGTGAGCTAGTGTTCTATGAGGGTTTCCAGCTCCCTCCCAATATCATCGCTAGTATTCTTTGCAGGAAGCTATGGCATTAAACAGTTTTGAAATAATTTAAAACTGTGTGGGTTTATCTACGCTGCGGATGTTAATTGACTTCACAGTCACATCCTTTCCCACAGCGAACTCCAGGAGTCTGTGGGCAAGGCTAGGACTGTCTAGAGATTTCTTACCGCTCTTACCAAAATAAAACCTCCGGGATTCTTTGTGGGAATCCCTGGGAATTAAAAGATACAAAATCGCACTATGTTCTTCTTTTAAAGGTCAGTTACACAAGTAGACTGTGTGGGGTGGGGGTGGGGCAGAAGGAAGAGGGAACCATGGCATCAGAGACAAGTGTCAGGCTGGAAGGTGGGGGGCGGGGGAACCTGAGCAAGATGCTTTCCAGGGGGTCTCCCTAGCTCACCCTCTCTCCCTGCCTCACCATGCTGTGCTCTCTTCCCTGGCCTCTTCCTTCCTGCCACCTGAGAGAGGGAGGAAGTGAACAAGTCCCTTTCTTCTTCACTTTATTAAAAGAAAAGAAAAAGGACCCATTTGTTCCCTCCCACTACCTGGTAAGTGGGGAGGGGGAGGCAAAAGGCTCACGTTTCCCCCCCTTTCTTGCTAGAAAGAAAAGAACAAGGGTCTCCTTCCCTTCTCTTCCATCCCATCCTCTAACTAACCAGGCAATCTGCAGGAAGGAATTCAACATTGCACCCATCTGATCATTCCGGCAGCACAAGCATTTATTTCTTCTTGCCAGACAGAATGATTCCCACTCTCCTGCCTCAGCTTGCTATTCTGAAGGTTCTCCAGATCTTGTTTTTGGAAGACACAGGGGACGGGATTTAAGGAGGAGCAGCAAAGCTCTGTTGTGTTAGCAAGAGCCCTTGTTCTGGCTTCTGTTGGCACACCAGGTTAGCTGAAGTTGCTGTTCTCTTCAAAACTTTTCTTCCAAAGATTTTTGGGCACCAGCACATCCAACTATCTGCAAAACTTTAAAGAAAGCAACAGAGATCAGCTCCTTCCTGCTCATGCACCTCCCAACTGGTCCCCCAATTGTCTTTCAAAATAAAAGTGGCCAAGTTAACCCCATGGGATTCTAGCAGCTGAAAGGAAAGCTGAAAATCTGGGTATATTCTGGGCTTGTTTCTGACTAAATTGAGTTAATTCCCCTTCTTATGGATATAGTCATACCTTGGAAATCGAATGGAATCTGTTCCGGAAGTCCATTTGACTTTCAAAATGTTTGGAAATCGAAGCCACAGAAGCCGCACCGGACGTTCAGCTTCCAAAAATCATTCAAAACCGGAACACTCACTTCCAGGTTTTGATTGTTCAGGAGCCGATTTGTTCAGGAGCCAAGGCATTCGAGATCCAAGGTACAATTGTATTGAGCAGGAGAAGACAAAGGAGATGCCTCTTTTTAGCAGCAGGAAGAACAGTATGGCACCCATGCTGGGGTGTGTGCATGCATGTGTCTAGGGAAGGGAGTTGTGTTCCCACCATAGCCTTCCTGTCCCTCGCCTCCTGCCTCCTGTGAGGTAGGTAGTCCTCATTCAGACTCCTCTTTCCACATGCAGGTTCACTCTTGCTGGACTTTGAGCCAACTCATTTAGGCTTGAGCTGAAGTTTTATACGTGTTGGCATGATCTTGGCTACTGAATCAAACCTGTGGTTGTTGGATTGTTGGAAGTGGGCATCTGAAGAGCAGTTAACTGGGGTTAAGGGTAAGGCTTGTACATGCTACATTGTGTGTGATAAATATTGGTTCTGATGGGGGCAGTAAGTGGAATTACAATATTCAGTGGGCCAGAAGATTTGGGGGAGGGGTGGTTTCCAGGTAGGAATTGGAAGCATGCAAATGTTTAAGGTTTTAACTATTTATTTTTATTATTAATCCCAGAGGACCAGGACCATTGGTTTTCTGTCAAAAAGAAAATGTGTTCCTTATAACCTTCTGCATTTTATGGTCTTCTGATCTGCATTCCAAAGGTAGCTGTCTTAAGAGTCCTGAGACTGAGGCGTAATATTTCTCCATGACGATGAAACTACGTTCTTGGAATGTTTCTGTGTCTCCTCATTTCTGACTCTGTGACCAAGATTTTAGTTTGGGACATTACACACCAAGACCACCGTGTTACCTACCATGCAAGCAAACATGAATGCATCTTTTGTATAAAGCTTCACAAAGATTAGACATCTTTTGATTAATTAAAAAGGAGAGCCTGATTAACTGGGCAGCAGATTTTTGGTTTTTTTTGTTAATGTTGATTATTTTTGTATGTAAGTACTTTCAGATCCCTGGGTAGTAGATGTCTCTGCAGAAGTATTTTTCCTTTATCACACACATGAGTGCGTCATCTAAAAACAAAGAAGAATGCCTTTTCTTTGGAGGGTTTATTCATATGCAGATTTAATTGATTAATCAATCAATTAAAATGTATATAACTAATTCACTACAATTTATTTTTTTGAGTGACACCCCTAATTTTTTAAACTGAAAAGGCCTTGGCACAAATAAATGTCAGTCTTTACTACTACATTTGTGTTAACTGCAGAGCCATTTCCTGTTCCCAAAGTGGAAGAGATAAGAAGGTGAGAAGCACATGCACTCATGTAAGAAGCTCCATACCAGCTGCCTGCCCAACACCAACAAGCCTTATGTTTATGGAGCCTTATGTTTACAGCATTTCTTCCCCAACAGTACTAGTGGCTATTTGCTTGCCTGACACCCTTCTCAGTAGTCATATTTGCTTTATTTTAAAATGGATGCAGACAAAACTGATGCAGAAATTACACAAAAATGATCTAAAACAACGTTTTATGAACAAGAGTTATTTGGTGGTCAGCAATCTCTGATGCCAGTTGAAAAGAAAATGACAAATTAGCTATGCCTAAAACCAAACAATATGGACTGTAGATTAACTCAGATGTTTGCCTTTGCCCCCCCCAAAAACAAACAAACTTTTTTTAAAAAAAACTTAAATTTTCTGCCGGGCCAACTTGCCTTGGAGGTTTTTAACCTCACCTTGTAGTATCTGGCATAGATCTTGTGCTTGAAATATCAGCCCTTGTTTCATTGTACTGTGATCTTGCTGGCATCTATGGCATTATTCACCTTGTTTGGGCCTGCTGTTTACTCCTGATGGGCTACAATAGAAAAGTCTTTTTGGATGCAGCCAGGAGGTTGTTACTCAGTGTAAGAGTTTAGAGCAGGCTAGAAGAGTTCCGCGTTAGAACCAGTCTAGATTGGCATTCTTCTTGCAAGTTTGCCGCTGCCCTGCCTCACTATATCTTGGGTGGGGGCAGAAAAACACTCACAAAGGCACTTCTCCACCCACAACTCATGCCAACGGCAGCTACTGGAACCCCACTCCATGGTATCCAACTGCATGGCTAATGTTGCTCCACTGTGCAGCTGGCAGGAGGAAAACTAACTACAGAATCATCAATCTGCATGGTGAAAGGAATGTTAAGAGACTGGTTTTGAGCTGCAGTCCAAGAAGACACCTGAGAGTTCAGTGCAACTAGATATAATGAAAGTCTCATCGGTTGGACGGAGCAGGCGGGCAGTTTCCAAACTGCTCATAAAAGCACAGTAGACTTCCATAGGCTCTCAGCCTCTATCTTGAGGAGTTATTTCCACTTGGAGTTGTGATAAATCTCCCAACAGAATTCCAATACTGAGTCAGTGCACCATGTATCTGTGGGAAGAAAGTCATTAGGCGCTGGTATCGGCTGCCAAACGTAGGGAAGGGAGACTATGCAGTTCCATTAATTTTTCTTCAGTGGCCTTTGAAAGGGCAGGGACATCAATTGCCGCATTGCATACCCATCCCGCTGGGGTGGCTTCACAAGGTGCCCCCCTAGCCTGAAAGATGAAAACCCATTTTAAGTGGGGATGGCTGTGAAAGGTCACTGGAAAAATGAGTTTGGTGGCCTCTCCTCTGGGCTTGTAGAGAAATGAGTGGAGCATTATAAATCATCTCCGCTGTCAAGAGAGAGATGGAGCTGGAAACCTCTCAGGAGAATGAAGAGGAAGGAAGTTGCCTACCCCCCCATCCTTTCAGGCACTTCAGCACAGTGTTTGTTAATTGCCTGAATGTGTTTGATTGGTGCAGCTGAGTGTTGTTTGTACAACTTCCTAGAAGTCCATGTGGCAGCTGCAGACAATGCTCAGCTGTGCCCATTCCACATAAAACACTCATGGTACAAAGACAAACAGCACCGAGGATAAGTTTCATACCAGGACTTGTACAAATCATCCATATTGATGAGGGGGAGGATCTAAAGGACTGAATACAGACCCCAGGCCTCTCTATCTGGTCCTCGGGACTCTTCCCTAGGCCACACCCTCTTCCAAGGCCACAACTCTGCTTCCCAGGCCACATATCCCATTGACCCTGCTCTGCATGCTCTTTGAGTGCTTCTGCCTAGCTGGACTGTATCTCTGATCTGTGATGGTGCCTCTTGCTTGCCTGAATTGGGAGGTATGTGTGCATGTAGGCACCTCTGGCTTTTGTGCAGCTGGAATGTAGCCTGCTGTGCAAAGGTCAGTGTCCTAGCCATGGTGCCACCCACTTTGGGGTCTGGCCCCACCCACCACTGGCACATGATAGCTCCCAGAAGATTGTCAGTGTGGCTTATGAATTGAAAAAGCTTCTCCATCCTAGTGCAGGTAAGGTGGGGTGGGAAATAGGTGAGGGAGGGGGTAAAATCTGCATTTAAAGCCGAATCTATTAAATTCACGCTTTATATGAAAACCAAACCACAGCCATGTGTTGAAATGCACACCTCTCTGAATTTTGCGGTGCAGTTCTCCAACCAGTGTTTACAAAAATGCATACATGTGGGGCAAGCATGCATAAAAAGGAATATATCATTGAAAGTAACATACAAAAATGGGGGGAAATGCTTGCAGAAAAGTGCACAATAGTTAAAACTGCACCCACAATAGTGTCTGTTAGTATAAATGTGCACTAAAAAAAAACCCCTCTTGAAAATTAGCATTTTTTTACATTGCTACAGAAATGTAGAGAACCAATTTTAAGATTGGAAAAACGAGAGAACCAAAACTGACCCATTCGTTCACCCCTAGCTTTTCTACAGCCTAGGAAACAGGAAGCTGCCTTATACCATGTGAGACCATTCTAGCTCACTATTGTCTACAGTGGCTGCCAGCAGCTCTTTGGGATTTCAGACAGGGATCTTCTCTAGCCCTGGAGATGCCAGGGGTGGAACCTGAGACTTCCTGCATGCAGGCACAGCTCTTCAGCCTCTCACAGTGACCGGCATTCCAAACATCACTATTAGTCATCTCTCATTTTGGTACCAACCTGATCTGTAGGAGGAAGAAAAGGGTTTCTAGAACAGCAAGGGTTGCAAATTCCTCAACAAAGCTGGACACCACCTGTTCAGCTTCAGAGGCCAAACTCTGTATTAATAAAACACGTCAATAGCAGAATCCTATGCCTGTTTGCTTGGAAGAATGTTCAAACGGGCTTACTCCCCAGGTAAGTGTGCATTGTGTTGCAACCCAGCCCTTCCTATGCAGGCCTTGGCTACTGATGCACCTTGAGAATATTCTCTTCTGAAGTAAATAAATTACTTGATTGGCCCATTATTGTTTACTCAAGCAAATTAATCCTTTAGCATGCATCTTCCTGTAGCCTAGTTACTTGGTAATAGGGTTCTTACAAAACCTTTATTGGCTGGATTGGCCTGCTTTATGCAGGGCCAGAGAAATGCTAAGTATCCCATAGTAACTTATTTCCTGCAATTCATTTCAAGCTGCATTGAAGCTTTAAGAATGCTCCTTATTGTCTCAACAGTGCTGTGCTCTTGGCCCCCCAAAAGGAGCCAGATTTTGCACAACAGAAACAAAAATTGTCTGTCCCATCAAGCAGATTTGCTCTCAGTTCTGGCATAGCTTATTCTACTCCCAGGACGCTGTGGTTTTCAAATAATTTGGGGTTTTTTTCCCCTAAGAAGGATCATTGTTGTGGGAAAGAGAATAAAAGTTGGCTGCCTAGCCGGGGGACAGTAGCCATATGGAAAATATAGCAATATGGTGTTTGAAAATCAGTAACCTGGGGGACATCAGCTTATTTGTGAAGTACTCTTGAGATAAGGAGCAGTAGGGAGACAATGATCAAACCCAAGGAGAGTTGATACAAAAGAGGGGGTGCAATATTCACATATTTCAGCAACTTTTCTGAAATGAAAGTGTTCACTTATGCAGAGAAAGGGTACTAGTTAACTGGAAAGCATGGTCGGCACTCTTAATTGGCTTTGTTTGTATTCAGCGATATCATCAAATAGACAATTCTGAATTGCTATGTAACACTGTGATGTCATCATGTTCTGTATATATCACCTGATTAGTTAATATTATTCAAGGAAGAAAGCAGGGAGATATTGCCCTGGGGCAGCAGTGGCAAAGAAACAGTGGCTGTAAACAACTGCAAATAGCACTGTAAAAGATAGGGAGTAAGTTTGAAAAAATAGGCATTTCACCACACCACAACCCATTTATTTGTTTTCTTGTTTGTTTGTTTACTTTGTTAGCCTCTATCGCAGCTTTCTCTGCAAACTGCAACAGAGGAACATAATCATAAACATACATTTTTCCTGGTTTCACACACACACACACACACACACACACACGTTTTATATATAAAACAACACCTCTCTCTCTCTCTCTCTGTGTGTGTGTGTGTAAAAATCTATCTATCATCTATCTATCATCTATCTATCTATCTAACTATTTATATCTATCATCTATCTATCATCTATCTATCTCTATCTATCTATCTATCTATCTATCTATCTATCTATCTATCTATCATCTATCTATCTATCATCTATCTATCTATCTATCTATCTATCTATCTATCTATCTATCATCTATCATCTATCTATCTATCTATCATCTATCTATCTATCTATCATCTATCTATCTATCTATCATCTATCATCTATCTATTATCTATCATCTATCTATCTATCTATCTATCTATCTATCTATCTATCTATCTATCTCTATCTATCATCTATCACCATCTATCTATCATCTATCTATCTATCTATCATCTATCTATCTATCTATCTATCTATCTATCTATCTATCTATCTATCATCTATCATCTATCTATCTATCATCTATCTATCTATCATCATCTATCTATCATCTATCTATCTATCATCTATCTATCTATCATCTATCTATCTATCTATCTATCATCTATCTATCTATCTATCTATCTATCTATCTATCTATCATCTATCTATCTATCTATCATCTATCTATCTATCTATCATCTATCATCTATCTATCTATCTAATCTATCATCTATCACTTATCTATCATCTATCTATCATCTATCTATCTATCTATCTATCTATCTATCTATCTATCTATCTATCATCTATCTATCTATCTATCTATCTATCTATCTATCTATCTATCATCTACCTATCTACCTATCTGTATGTGAAATTACCTGCAGCAAATATCATGGAAACCTACCAGATAAACGCTCCTGAATTATGATGTCATTAGTGGTGAGTGCCATGCTATACCCCAACTTCTTGTATACCTCCATTTTATGAACACAATTTTCTTTAGAACTCTTTAGCACTTGAGTGCTCCTTCACTATAGCTTACAAGAGTGAGAATGCTCATGTAGTCCTTTAAAAATAAGTGCTGGGTGAAAATCAAGAATCCCCCCCTCCATTTCTGTAGCAGTGCACCACCTGTTTGTGGCTTCCCCCACTTTAATATTCTCCCAGTGGCGTAGCGTGGGGGGTGCAGGGGGGGCCGGCCGCACCGGGCGCAACATCTGGGGGGGGCGCTCGCATTCGCAGCTCTCTGCCCCTACCTGGCTCACTCACTCTCTCTCACACAAGGGGGCGCAAATTACTTGCCTTGCCCCGGGTGCTGACAACCCACGCTACGCCACTGTTCTCTCCTGCTGACTTACAGCATCTCAAGCTGAACTGCACAACGTCTGTGTTGAATCATAAGAAGGCTACCCCTTTACAACACAGCAAACCCCACAGCGAGGCTCTCCACCCACACTGTCCCTGCTTATTTCCTTTAGTTGAAAACAAGGATCAAACACCAAACAAGGGGGTTATATCTTAAAAATTTATTATCTTCCAAAGATAGAAATGAATATTCACTGAACTACACAACAAAACAAACCCATGCTCCAAACAAAGTGGGTGGGGTGGAGCAATGTCTTTCAAAACCTAGAAATAAACTGCTTATGTTTTAGTAATGAAGAACCGACAGTCACTTGCCTCCCTGTTGTTCATGCTTCCTCGATCTAAAGGGTGCTGTGGGTGGTAGAACTGAAGAGGCAACATCAGTTTCAGCCGGGTGATGTTTTTCAAGGTGGAAATTCTTAAAAGAATGGAGGGGATTTATTTGACAGCAGAAATGAAGAACCCTTGATGGAACCCCAGATTCTTAAGACCAGTACTGGTCCAAGATGAATCTCAACACTCCAATTTCGAAAAGACTTCCTGGAGCAGACATCAGTTCTTGCTTTCATCTAGCCCCTAAAATTATGACACATGACATGCTGAAAACGTATGCTTCACCTTGCTACATTTTAGGACTTGCCTACTTAAGACCCCTTTCACACAAGATGCAAAAAGTGCCTTTCAGTCATGATTTGCTGCTGTTGTAGCACATTAAGGATCAGAATTGTGGGAAGAGTTCCTCTGAGCATGTCAGGCCTATCAGCTAAGCTGCTGCCAGAGCCTATTCTGAATTAATAGAGGCTTTGATTCCATTTAGTTAAAATAGAGGCACAGCCAAAGAAAGAAATTGAAGATGTCCTACTCACTCTCACAAGTATCCTATGACTTGGAATGAGCTGCAGCTACTGTAAATTTGACCCAAGGCAGGGGATTGCCTAAGCTCTTTCTTTCTTTCTTGGCTGTGACACCTTAGCATGGTATAATGAAACCAGTGCTTGTTTTATTCCAGTGAACCATGGAGCACTGCTAGTAAACTACTGTAGCAGTGAGATAGGATACTTTGCTTCCTACAAGGGTTCTTCATCCTAGGGGCAAGGGACCAGAATAAAAACATATCAAGGTGTTCATGCTGCCTGGCCAAAAGTGGCTGGGGAAGCTAGCTATAAAAAGGTGCCCTGCCTGCTCTTTAGGATCCAGAGAATTCAACTTGGGGCAGTTCAGTCACAATGGGCATACAATTCTGTGTGGTCAGGGGCAGAACCAGAAAAACCCTCATGGCTTATAGTATCACAGGCTGTTTTCAAGGGAGAACAATGAACAGATACCAGCCATCTTGGGCTCTGCAAATTTCAGAAGACTACTCAGTTAAACACAGGTAGGCATTCTGGTGTCAGATGGTATTGTGATACTGCAACCAAAAAGGCGGGTATAACAAAATAAAACAGAAAGGTTGAAAGAGAAAAGAAATTTCCTCCAAGGGGAACTACATGCTGCCATGATGTGGAATAAAGCAAGCTTTAGATACTGGTCACACTAATGGTGCCTGTGAAGATATCGTAGTCAAGCAAAGCTGCAAAGAATCTGCAAGAGGTGGAAACCAGAATGATCCCAGCATCCAGGATATGAATAAAACATATCTTCTGAATCTACTTAAGTCTGCTCCATTTTAAGTATCCAAAGATCAACATCCCTTTCATGAAAGAACCATAAACAGAAAAGGACTGAAGGGAGACCTCGGGCACCAGTCTCGGGCACCAGTCTCAAGGACACATAACTGGAGGTAAGTCCCATTGAAGTCACATGGATTGACTTCTGCACAAACAGCTTAAGGACTGCAGGAGCAAAGTTTGGTCACTGGCCAAACTGGCAAAGTAGAAGTGGGGGAAAGAATGGGTTTAAAACATGAGCATGGCTTACACTTTCTAAGGGTATAAGCGAGCATTGCCTAAAACATTTCATGTTGATGGTATCCCTACCTGGTCAATGAACCAAAACAAAATTTGAACAACCTCAATTACAAATTGCTGAATTTGTCAGGAATAATGTGCATATTATTTATGGGCAGGGTCACACCTCTGTTTTCATGGCTTTAATTATTAGAAAACTGATCCAATGCTTACTGTATATGATCATAAAACACACTATAAACATTCTTTCTCTCTATTGCACATAGTTAAAATCCTACAATGCCAGGAAAGGCAGAAGTAATTCTAAAACAAGGAACCTTTTTCATTCTAACTAGGTGTACCTGTGGATAGAAGTGGGCTTGTGTGAGAGAGATGAGGAGAAAATTGATGTTGTTATCACCATCATCAGCAGTACGATTTATATTTATTCAAGGCCACTCAATAACTTGGTTGCCTTGGTGCCTCATAAACATATATATTCTTTCCTCTGTTGCACCTGTGGAATGGTTGGATGCCCTTATTCACAGCATCTCTGCTTCATACAGGTTACATTTGCGTGGACAGGTCCCATACAGCCCTTCCCCATTTATTTTGTTTTTTTTTAAAAGACCTCTAGTGAACTACAAACCATTAAATACAAAAAAACAGGACTAGGTGACCAGATTGGCAACCTGGAAATTATTTTACCACTGAAAGTTGTTGATGTGTCTAGTAAGGATTGTGGCAGGAGATTCCCACTAGTGGCTGCTGAGGGAGTTGCAAGGAGGTAGCAAGAGCTGGCTCTGTCAATCCTGCACAGGTTCAGACACCTGCTGACTGTCCAGATGCCCGGGCATGGGGATGCTGTCTTCAGTGAGCCACATGGCTAGTTTGCAGTCATGCACTGTAATACACTGATAGTCACCCCCTTTCTTGCTGCCTCATGTCTCTCTCAGCCAAGGATGTGGACCCCTCTGCTCATCAGCACTTCCCCAACCCCACATCTCACTGATGGCTTTAAGGAAAGAAGAAACTGCAAGTGACCATTGGTCAACCCTGCCAGAATCATACCTGTGTCTCCTACCGGGAAACAGCTCTGTGCTCGAGTTTTCTGTCTAGTGTGTCCAAACAGATGGAGCACAATGCTCACAACTGAAGCTCCTACATAGCCTCTCATGGGGTGAACAAAGTTCTCCTACGTTAAGGTTACCAGATTTCCCCATTTCCCAGGGACAGTCCCCGGATTTACAAATCAGTCCCCATAAAAAATCCATTGAAGTTGAAAAGTGTCCCCGGATTCATTGAAAAAGAATCTGGTAACCTTATCCTAAATGGGATAGTGCATGAGTGTGGTTAGTTGTGACTGTGGGCTCCAAGCTAAAAAATTGAACTTCAGCCATGGCTAGGAGGTCTGTGTTTGTGATCCAAAACAAAATGGTATTGCAGTGAGGAAGGTCAGGGACTAAGTGATCTGTCAAAAGGAAGGGTCTAGTCGGCCTTGTCCTTCTTCTTTGTGGGGAAAGGGACTTTGCTGGCCACTGCACTGCCAACAGCTCCCACGCCACTGGTCATTGCTGAGACACTGCCCTTGACTAATCCAACGCTGGCTGTAGGGACGCTGGTCACTGCTGTTTTGGTGAGTTCAAAGCCTTTGCTACCAACCCAAGCCACTCCCCCCAGCGTTGCCCCCACGGCTCCTCGGGTGATGCTGTACAGGCCTCCTGTCACTCTCCAGATCATGCCAGACTGTGGCTGTGGGCAGTCTTTACTAAGATCTGAAATATACAGAGACAAAAGAAAAAGAGAAAGGAGTTAGATGCTTCTCTCCTGGTTGCTCTGAGCGATTTCAGCATCGTAGGATGTTTCACTGCCAGACGGTGAAAAGGTCAACGTGTCTCAGTACTTGGCCTCACTCCTTCAGCATACATCAGTAGCATACTTAGATGATGTTCTGACCAGCCAAGAGAAATTCATGATGGGACACACTAAAACTAAATGGGGAGCTTGTCCAATCCCTGTACTAAAAAGAGCTCCCTTCATCGTGACAGATACTGGGAGGAAGAACCGTGAGGTACTTTCAAACCTTGCTTGAAAGGATTTTAATTAATGTATTTGAAAGGTTTCTAGAGGCTGCTTTGTCACAATTTATCATGCTGAGTAAATCACAATAGAACTGAAAATAACAATAAAGCCATATAATGCCGATCTAAACATATATCGTATTACCCAAACCAGCACAAAACAAACAAAATGCCTAACATAGCATAGTCATACTAAACCCAGAGCAGTCTAACATTAAGTCACGGTAAAAATGTGAGTCTTAAAACCATGTATGGAACTATACTATCAAGAAAAGGAGCCTGCCTGACTTCATCTGAATTCACATTCCATAGCTGTAGAGCCACTGCTGGGAAGACCCTGTTCACACGGGGAAGTGTAGGAGGAGAAGGGGGGAAGTCAATGCTGGATTACCAAATAGGCAGAGTAGCCATCGGCCTATGGGCTCTTTTAGGGGCCCCACAACAATGGATCGAAATAATATTGATTTGATCTTGAAATTGGTTTATTAAAATGGTTGGTTGGCAAAATAATACAAAAAGTATTAGGAGATAATTTGCAAGCTCCCCCACCTGAGATTTCGACTGCCATGGGGCCTCCACAGGGTTTCATCTGGGACTGGGGGAGGTCCCACTGTGCTACTAGGACTCATTACACTGGCTGCTGCTAGCATACCTACTTAGCTGAATACAGCCCTTGGCACTGCCTACTGTGTGGATTTGCTATGTGATTTGGTAATTTGCAGTGCTGTAGATTGGGTGTGACATTCCTTGACTACAGCCTGCTTACAGTGGCCCAGGTCAGACACAACACTAAGGGAAGCCATGGCTTAGCACCAAAGAGGAAATGTGTTGGTTCCCAAAGAGAACATGGCCTCTTTGCTACTACTCCAGGTCTCCAGCTTCCATGCTGCTGTGAGCTAAGCTCTGGCTTGTCCTAGTATGATGCCTAAACCTGGGTTCAGGGTTTGTCTAACCCAGACAAACCCAGTTCTGGATAATAGAAATGGAAATTATTTTGACTAGTTTAAAATTAGACAACTCATGAGGTCAATACAGAAACAAGCAGTTTTTCTCCCATAAGGAAGGATGTAATTTTAACTTGTAAACAGTGGCTTAGTTTGGGAACTACCTGCATGGAATCTAGCTTGCCAGATATTGTGTGAAAGAGGTTTGTTTTGCTCCCTGAGTATGTAATTATGCTTACCTGAAATATACTAGTGACACTCTCTTTTTTTGGGGAACTATTGTAATGCTAAATACCTTCCGCTGACAAAGCCCTTTCCAACTCCAGATAAATCAGTATTTTGACTGCTTTTGTGGTCTTTTTTATTTTCTTAAATGTCTGATTTCATATTCTATTCTGCTTTCTCTGAGTAAACCCTTTTCTTTCTTTCTTTCTTTCTTTCTTTCTTTCTTTCTTTCTTTCTTTCTTTCTTTCTTTCTTTCGCCTTGAGTTATTTGAAAGACCTCACCTGCTAATATACATATCTGCTTGGCTATTTGGATACATTAGCCAAGACTATAGGCAATAGCGAGATAGGGATGTCTCCCTGTTTTAAAAGAAAAATGTGTATAGACTTCCGCATCAGCCTCAGGTATTCCATTTTCATGTGTGTTGAAGAAGCTTGCATCTATCTACCTAGGTGGCAGTAACTCTGGATAACTGTAGGTTATCCTAACAATACCAAAACGTCAACCCAAAGTTGATAAAGAGCTACCTGAGAAAAAAAATATACTGTATGGAAGCACTCAAAAGGATGGAATGGCCCAACCACTTTGCATGAGGCACGTCAGCACTCAAATCTTTCTGAGAGGAACAGAAGTGGGGACATTTTTTCAGCCCAAGGTCAACCTTCTGGGGGGGGGGTCACAAACCAGGGTTGTGAAGCACCAGAAACAAAAGTGGGCAGAGGAACAAATGTAATTTTTGCCTTGGTACAGTAGATACATTTCTAGCATATTCACACACTTCTCCAACCCGTTGAGCAAGAGTCACCATCAAAGTTCAGTGACACATTCCAGAAAGAGAAAAACACTCAATGTGAAGCAAGGCTGGTGAGGGGAAGTAGCCCAAGGAAAGAGGGTGTGTGGTCTGAGGAGAGAGTTCCAGCAGCTATATAGAGGTTCCTCACCCCATAGTAGAAGGGAGGGCTGCTTGGTTTTTAAGCAGAGATTGTGGCCATTTATCTCAAAGCTGTGCAGTATTGGATATGCAGCTGCTGCCTTAAATACCCCTCTGTGCTCCTGGCTGCTTTGCTCGCCCTCCTCTCCCACCTGCTACTGAGAGCAGCATTTCAGTTTTGCAGGCAGAAGAGGAAGCCAGGTGAACAGCATGTGGGGTAAATGATGCAGAAGGACAGGTGCCATCTCTGCAGCAGGACCTCCTACTTGGAAAGGTGACGTGCTCCCACCAGGTGTCCCTAGGAGGTTCTTCCCCTTCAGCTTGAATGCCTTCCTTTATGCATTTTCTCTGTTTTAAAATGGCCAGTCACGGATCTGAGGTCGCAGTACAAAAGCTGCATCCTGGGTGTCACCATTTTTGTAAGATTACACACTCATAAGGATGGGGAATAAGTCATTCCAATAAATCCCCAGTGTGCTCAGGTGCATTTGGGATGGCTCTCTCTCCTGGGGGGGGGGGGGCTTCTCTTGAGTCAGGAGGACACATGAGAAGTGGGGAACCTGTGATTCTTCAGATCTTGCTGGACTACGGCTCCCATATTTCCCAACCTCTGCCTACACTGGCTGGGGCTGATGGGAGCTGGAGTCCAATAGCGCCTGGAGGGCAGCAGGTTTTCCATCCCTGCATTAATCTGGCAACCAGTTTTAGTACCAGGCATTACTCTGTTACATTGGAAGGATGATGATGATGATGATGATGATGATGATGATGATTATTAAAATTTGTACACCCCCCTTTATCCGCAGTTCTCAGGGCAGTGCACAACATAAAATTACAATGTAAAAACAACAAAACACATAGTAAAAAGAACAACAACAAACCAATATGAATATGAGCACTTGAGCAGGCTTTTGCACACTCTCTGCTGAATAACCACAGTGATCTGGGATGAGGTGCTGCAGCTTCCATACAGATTGGGACCTTTTTCTCCTCAAAGAAATAATCATGCACTGCTCTCCTCTGGAGAATTACAGAGGTTTTTCGCCCTCACGCCCACTCCATGGAGAATGCTGATCACCACTGCCTGGTTTAAATTCAGCCGTGTGTGTATGTGTTTATGTGGGGCTTCTAGTGGGACGTGCTTCCTGTGTCCTGGGCATTGAGGAAGCCGCAGTGATGAATGGTGCCCTGCTGAAAGCCTGCATAGTGATGTGACATAATGGTGCCTCTCCACACAGCCCAGGCCAGAGGCCCTGTCAGAACTAGTCAGCTCCTTGGCAAGGAGAACCACAGTTGCCCTGTTAAGAGTCCTGAAGAGCGAGTCTCTCGGGAGCTGAACAGAGACATCCTTAAGCACCTTTTACAGTCCACAGATCACACATGGCCGGAATTCCCTGTCACAGACAAAAGCGGAGTCTGAGAAAAACAGCTCAGTGGAAAGCATCCTGTTCCCAGCCATATCCAGGGAGGTGGGGGGGGATATGAATAGGCCGTGGGTGTCCAATCAGATGCTGTCAGCATCTCACCCACCACACTGACCCTGGCCAGGAGTGTTTGCAGAGAACAACTCCCTGTATGTGGTTGGCGCTTGCTTGGCTACTCTTCCTTCTCTCTGAACTCCAGACGTCAACAAGCTCCAGGCTGTGCTTGTGGAGGAAGCCTGCTGCTTCAATGTGCTGGTTAGTCACCATTCCTTTAAGAGGATTCTTCTCTCTCAATAAGTTGCTGGCTTAGCTGAAAGGAATCCAGGATGTTTGTTCTTCCGAACATAATTAATATGCCAGGAAAAACTGACAGTTCAGCTCAAAAACAACAACAACACACCACCTTTTGACGTCTCTCCACCCCCTTTTTTATTTTCAGCAGTGATTGAATTTAATATTGATTCTGGCAGTGGATTTCCTCAGCTCATGAGCAAAGGGCTTGCAAAACACCAAAAAGCAGGCACTGAATAGATAATGGAATCGCAGGATCTTGGGATGCTTCACAGGGTGCCTGGAGATGTCCGAGCAACAGCTTCTGGGCAAAACCTGCCCACCTCACACTCTCATCCTTGCTTGTATCTGCAAGTGTGGTGCAGTGGTTAGAGTGTAAGGCTAGGTAAAAGGTAGGTAAAGGTACCCCTGCCCGTACGGGCCAGTCTTGACAGACTCTAGGGTTGTGCGCTCATCTCACTCTATAGGCCGGGAGCCAGCGCTGTCCGCAGACACTTCCGGGTCACGTGGCCAGCGTGACAAGCTGCATCTGGCGAGCCAGCGCAGCACACGGAATGCCATTTACCTTCCCGCTGGTAAGCGGTCCCTATTTATCTACTTGCACCCGGGGGTGCTTTCGAACTGCTAGGTTGGCAGGCGCTGGGACCAAGCGACGGGAGCGCACCCCGCCGCGGGGATTCGAACCGCCGACCTTTTGATCGGCAAATCCTAGGCGCTGAGGCTTTAACCCACAGCGCCACCCGCATCTTGGGTTCAAATCCCCACCCAGCCATTAAGCTCACCAGGTGACTTTGGGCCATTTTGCAGCTTGGTCTACCTCCGAGGATTCTTGTGAGGATAAAATGAGGAGGGGGGAAGCATGCATGCCACCTTATTTA